AGAATACGAAGAAGGCTAAGAGCTTATAATGCCTATAATATTACTACTAAGCCTAGGAACAATGCTACCCCTAGGGTACTATTAGCTAACTAATTAGAGGCAAGCAATTGTTAGTAATAAAGGATAATAAGACTATACTAGGCGCGCTACGACGCGTTAATTAATTAATCGTATACTCTTTTAAGGGCTCTACCTCTTTACTAATACGCCCTATAAGGCCCTTCTCCTAGTATTTAGGTCCCCCTCTTATTCCTTTATTCTATTAAGGCCTAAGGCCTAGGCGGTCGATAGAGGCGGCGCGCGCGCGCGTAGGCGAATAGTATTAGTAATAATAATAGTAACGACGGCGTTACGCTTATACTAAAGGGCGATACGGCCGGCGCGGCTATATTAGTAACGGTATTGCGGAGTGTATTATTAGTTAAAGAAGGAAATTAGAAGAAGGTAAAGCTAGCGCTAAGACGACTAGCGCCGCTATTATTAATATTACTTACTATTATTACTACGCCTACGGATACAACCTTACCTATACTACGAGCCTAAGGCACCTTTAATTAAAACTTTAATTAAAACTTTAAGGCTAAGTCAAAATATTAAGGCTTAAAAGATTAAGTAGTTTAATAGACTAACTAACTAAGGGCAAAACTATAGAGCTAAGCTAGCCGGGGTCGATCTTGCGGATAATAGGTTACTCCTCGATCTTTCCGACTTTTTAAGCGAGGCGAACCTCTACTACTACACTTATAATAGCCTTTACCTATAGAAACTAGACGAGCTGTGTTTTTTTAAAAAGATAAGATAAGATTAATACTTAAAGGCTACTAAACCTAGCTAATTAGGGCTAGCGAAACTACGAATAATAAGAACAATAACCCTCGGAAGCGGACAAACCCTCGGAAGCGGACATTGCTAGGTCTTTTAAGAGTAGACGCAAAGAACTTAGTACGACATTACTTAAAACGGAGGCAGGGCTATAATACCTCGTACGTCTACCTATTATAGTAGGGAAGACGCGCTCGTATTATAATTAGTCGAAGGCCCTTAATTCTTATAGATATATACTACTTTATAGATTGTTATATATAAGGATAGCATAGTTAGAGTTAGACATTGTATTAGAGGTAAGGTTTAATATAGTTACATAATTAGGTAGTTAAGTGTTCAATTTAGCGCGGACTAAGCAGCTTATTAAACTTGCTAAGTTAGCGGTAATAGAGGTCGTAGAACATAGACAGGCTACGAGGGCGCGGCCTTTAGAAGGGAAGCGTATATTAGGGCCGAAGAGGCTATACGTAATTAGTATATAACTAGGCTAAGTAAAGCTAGGGTCTTAGTGCCTTAGGTAGGGCTTAGCGCTTAGTAATAGGCTAACTTGCCTGCCTTCCTCCCTCTCCTTCTAGCTCCTTATCGAATACTACTCGTACCTACTACTACCCTATCTACCTACTAATATACCCTTCTTATAATTAATAGCGAAGGTCTAGGTAATAGAGATAGCCGTAATTAACTTGCTAGAGTAGTTAGTAGCGGTATAGATAATAATAGAGAGGCGTATTTACTAGATCTAGTCGCTATATCGATAACTCTAGGTAGTAGGTAGGGGAAGGGGAGATAGCGACCTACGAAGGTATTACGGAAGGCTATAATAATCTCGATTCGCTAACAAATTAGTAGGATAGGAAGACGAGCGATCTACTACCTACCTTCGAGTCCTCTAGCCGCCTTATTACTATCCCTCCGAGTCCCTTACGAAGCCCGATTTCTATTCGAATTTTCTATCTAATAACGTTACCTTCTATACTATTATATACTATCTATATTATTCGTACAACCTTAACTATTATTAAGAGCTTATAATATATTACAATAGACATACTACTAGTAGTATAGAGCCTCCGAAGGTATTATTTAGTATACTATAGAGCGATCGATAGAAGGTTTAATATTATAGGGGAAGGTAGTTACTATCGCTAAGGCTACTATACCGCTTCTGTATCTACCTCCTTTAGCAATAGACTTATTGCATTACGACCTACGGCATTACAATCGATTGGCTATATATAATATAGTAGATACAGTGGATACAGGTAGTGAACCATCAGTTAGAAGTTGTTGTCGGAGGTGGACAGCGACACCTCCTGCTAAAGGTCTCTATTAGCTTACATGTAACCAGACTTGTCTCTCTGCAGGAGGATGCGCGGCAGGTACATCCACCTTTGCTTCGTGGCATTGAGTTCGTCTGCCTCTGCTAGTGAAGTAGCGATGTACTGTACCTACCTACCTCCACCTCTGCAGAGCTTCCCATTGAAGAGCTCCAATTCGCGGACATTTTTGGTTACCCTCGGTCAATGACGCCGACATCAGGCTAGCGACTACCTATCCACCTCGGATGGTGGTGCTTCCGTTTCAGGCTTGCCGTTCGGAGCTAAAGCGTGCAGTGGAGAAGGGAAAGTAGTGTGGAAAGAGTCATCAACAAGTGATTTGAGTGCCAAGATGCGACTCTTGGAGAAGGGAGCGACGTAGGATTCTCGACTGAGATGGAAGCGAACTGAATGAAGCACGGCCGGCACTGCTGTGCACCATGTAGCGACTACACTGGATCTGGAAAATATCTGCATCGCTAGCAAACCACGGCTCAATTGTACGTGAACTCGATAGCGGCAAAGACAACCGCGGTCTCGATATCAACTCCTGCACCAACCAACCCGCTATCGAATCATTTCGGATCGTGATTCCAATGCCGGGTGAGATGGGGAACTACATACATACAGTGGAAAGAATTGTCTAGCTGAGCTCATAAAAGACAATGCTACATCCGATTCGGAACTGCGGCCCTTTCTCCTGCTGATGTTATCAGATCGCTCGAGATTATTAAGGGTGGTGGCTGTAGTCGTTACACCGTGCATAGCAGCACCGTCTTTCATCAGAGTGGCAGACATCTCAGTACTCTCCAGGTAATATAATTGTTGACCCTTCTATACTTTCCTTTCTCTCCCGAGATATCTCCTCTAGAAGCATCAATCAACGGAAGTCGCCACGCCTCGAACGAACCAACAGACTACATGTATCCTGTGACACTTGCCGCCATCTGCGACGTAAACGCCTCGAGCACTCTATGCCTGCGAACGTCTTTTCGCCGTCGACACGGCGGTCACTGGCTTTCCACTCGATTGTCCTCAAATAACGACTGCGGTCTTGCCATATCATTTTCGACACAACGACTACCGTCTTGCGTCACATTTTTTTTCGAAAACTTCCCCAAGTAACCACACCCGTCTTGCTTCAATTCTTCGATGCAACGATGTGAGTCTTGCTTCACACTCTTCGAAGTAACGACGAAAGTCTTGCTTCAGCTTTTGCGGGTAACGAATTGCTTCACCCCATTGTCATCAGGCTACATTGCCTAATTGCAGAGTGGTGCGTCGCTTGAACGTCGGTTCGACCTCACTCGAACAAGAAGTACAGGTCATGATTCCGAGTTCTCGAATTTATATAACTGGTGTAGTAACTACAAGAGTGGAGTCGAAGTTGATATCAACACGAGCCAGCACTGCCCATCACTTGAGGCTGGCCCGCATCTGTAGTGATCGTTGTCCGAAATCGCGATGCTTGACGCCATGATCGCTTTCTAAATGCTAATGCTGTACATGTTTGATCACACATCCGCCGCAAAAAGAAGCCGATTTTGTTCTCCAGAACTCCGTCTATTATGCACAGAAGCTGGCAGTGAAGCGATATAGAGCTCGCTGGTTGAGGAGAGGCATCCCACGCATGAAGCGTAGTCCAGGAATTTAACGAAATCTCCATCGTAGTAGTAACCGAAACTGTATCGCTGGTTGGAAAGAAGAAGACACTGACTCAGCCGAATCAGAGCTCAGACATAATCTCTGGCGCTCTTCTGCATCTCGATAAACCTCCATCCTCTGGTCTCTGGGTTGTTCACCTCTTCCGGTATTCTCGTCACACCAATGGCATATGTGACTTGTTGGACCTTGTCCTCCATACCGGCAGCCAGCTCTCCACTTTTGGCGTTCCTGTATACGTGAATCTCTTGTGTTCGGCACATGAGGACGAATACCGGAATCTCACCAGGATCCAGCATTCGCGCGGAAAGGATATCAACACCTCTGATGTCAAGAATTTTGCCGTCAGACTTAAGGCCAGCCGTGGTGTACTGCTGCATGAGCGCGTGGTAGACCTGGAATTGAGCTGCCGATAGCCAAAGTTTGAGGGTCTCGACATCACCCTTAACATACGCCTCGAGGACTTCCGGTAGAATATATGTTCGCATCTCATTCAAGAAAGGTTCCAGTTGGAAGTTGGGGTCCATTTCTCGGAATTTCTTGATGACCATGGCAGTCTCGTTTTCCGCAAAGAAGCCTGCAATGCGATCCGATACGCTTCTCGCGGTGCTGATCAATGGATTTTCCGACTCGCGATATACAGCTCCCATACCGAAGACGCGTTGCATGACCTTGCTGTTGTCCTTGAAATCCTTCCAAGCCTCTTTCCATGCAGCATCCTTGTGCACTGTAACGTTGGTGCCCGCATTGGGGTCTTCCTCGAACACTTCAGACACTTTGTTTGGGTTGAATCCTCGCTTTGCATCCATCTCTTCACGTTTCCGCTTCCGCTCCTCCTTCTCGGTCCAACCACCATATCTTGAAGAAGCTCCATCGTCGATGGTGTCTTTCACGTCCTTGTATGCCTTGGTCTCTCTCACTGGCCGTGTTGCCTTTTCTACTCCACTTCCTACAGCAGAGGCACCTTTTCGAATCACCTTTGCGACTGGAGTGTCCCAGGTCCAGGCGGCACTCTTACCAATTGCACCGGCCGTTCCCATAATCACTTTGCCGGTAGTCGTACTCGCGGCCTCAGCAGCCTTTGTATATGCGCTTCGTGCCTTTTGCACATTTGGATTCTGGGTAAAATCGTGAATGGTACCACCGAGTTGCTTGGTACTCTCATTCCATTCCTTGCTGGCTTTAAACTCCGTCTGAAGAGTCTCGGTGAAGACTTGCCATGGTGTCTTGGTGCCGTGTGGTGGCGGAGGAGCCTTTTCCTTCTTCTCACCCTTCTGCTCTCCCTCGGCGCCAGCGCCCTCCTCGCCTTCAGTCTTCCCCTTTGCCTCTTCTCCTTCGGCGGCTTCCTTCTGCCGCTGAGCCCACTCCTTATCAGCCTGGGCCTTGAACTGGGCAAAGGCCTCGTCAGCAGCTGATCGCTCGGCGTCTGGCTTCTTTGCCTCTGGCTCCGGTTCGGCCTGGGATTGCGCTTTGGCTGCAGCGGGCTGTTCTTCTGCTTCTGCCTGCTGTCCACCCGCGGCTTTCTCCTTTGCGCGCTGCTCACGCATCTCTCGGAAGCTCACATGTCGTACAGAAGTAGCAGGCGATGACGATATAGTGGATGGCAAAAAATGTGATCGCAGCGCCAAGGGTAGTAATATGGCGGAAGTGCCATCTCGTCGCCGGCGTGCTGATGCTTCGCTATATTTTCTGAGCTGGCTTCCTATCCGTCGGTATGCAGCCGTGCGGCCATATTGTGATGGAGAAGGCGTTGCGGGAAGATTTCGTGAAAGAGCGCCTCCTGCTCGCGACGAGAGGGAGCGGATGGCGGTTGTGCTCATGCTCTATGCCGCTATGTATAACTACAATGAGAAGCAGGGAAAGGACGATGGGAGGCGACGCGAAGGCAGAAATGGCGGCGCATGTGCTTCCATCGAAGTCGCTCGCTCGGGAAAACAAGTCAAGCTGAAGCTTTCAGATTGGTCCCAGCTTCCACCGACATCGACTGCACGCTGCACTCCCGAATCTCTCCGCACCTCCGTCTCCGCATCGCATCGTATCCGCGCATCGCATCGCAGACACGCTGCCTGGACACATCGAGCCATTGTACCAGCACAACATCACGACCTATGGCCACCATCAAAGCGCCGCGAGCCTTTCTGAGCAGCTCTTTCATGTGCCATTCATGCCGCCAGCGACTCCTGCCGGCGACATCAACACGCGCCTTCTCTTCGACGCAAACACGACCCGCAGAAGAACCACTGGGCCGGCTAGGAGGCTTCCAAGCCAACAGCAGAGGCAGACCGAATCGCAACAATGACTCCTCCAGCATGCCAAGTCTATCAGAATTGCTCGATAAAGACGTCGACTCATTTGCCAATGCACATTTTGCGCATGAAATGACCAGTCCGGGCGAGAGGGAAAAGCCATACAGACTCCATGTCTATGCCACTAAGCACAACACACATCTCACTTTTGTACAGCCATCGAGACCAGCCTCACAAACGGCATCATCGAGTGTGTCAGGAACGTCGGCGAGCGCAAAGGATCAGAGCAAAATGGTGGATGTGCTTCTTTCTTTGAGTGCTGGCAACATTGGTTTCAGAAAGGCTGGGCGAGGAAGTTATGATGCAGCGTATCAGCTGGGCGCATTCGCTCTGAAGCAGATGCAAGAGAAAGGTATGCTGAGAGATCTGCATTCTTTGCAGGTGGTCATGCGAGGATATGGAGCTGGACGGGAAGCGATGACCAAGATCATTCTGGGAAGCGAAGGGAGATTCATCAGGAATAAGATCACAAGTGTGGTGGATGCGACGAGATTGAAGCAAGGTGGTCCCAGGAGCAAGAAACCAAGAAGATTAGGTTAGAGGAGAGTAGCTCCTCGATTTCTCTGCATTCAGCGTCATCATGAGCATCTTCGAAATACCAAATTTTGGCGATTCTCTGAAGGGAGTTCAGAGAGGACTGCATCGTTCTCAAAATGTCACAAGCCACCAAGCATTCTGGTCGAAAGGCATGATGCTCTGCCGCATGCTGGGATGGAAGGAAATCTAAATGTCATTGAGTGAGCGCCGACACATGCTCACATCAGCCAGCTCCGAAGCTCAAATGGACGAAGTAGCCATTGAATTGGGGAGAAGAGGCACGCATAGCGTCTGCCACGAGAGACGCTTGGCTGGTGTAGGAGAAAATGAGCGGCGATGCGAGATCCATCCTCATCGAGAAGCTTCCGCACGAGCGAGATATCCAAGATCGACCGACTTCGCGGTGGGACGCATAGTATGCATGTCTAGATGGAGTGCTCAGTACATTCGAAAGAGCAAAAGTACATGGTCTTGCTACGATTTGAACGTAGGTCTTCTGGATACATACTGTCGAAAGACAGAGAGGTAAACAACTGGTGGTAAGTGCTGGACCGAAGTCGCAGCTCGCGTGCGACCGCGACATGCTATCGAGCTTCCACCATCGCTCGGTAGCGTTATGCCTCCCGAACGCATTCAGTGTGGCTGGATTAAACAGTTGCTGATATTGACCAGATGTGCTAACCACTGCACCACAAGACCAGTTGATCAAGCTGTGGGGTGAGAGCATACTTAGAGGTCATGCTCCATGTAGCAAACAAGCGGCCACATGCAGCCTCCCGCTCTCACGCAGGACCTCTGCTCGGCAGCCTCAGCCTGTCTGGCAACGAGGATACGGGAACTTCCTGCAGGTTGCGGCCGAAAGCAGGGGCGACAGTAGCATCTATTGCACGGTAAAAGCTGACAATTGAGCTCACTCCTCAACATCGTCGAGCTCAATGGCAACGACGTTGCAATCAGCACATGCAAGCAAGACGAGAAAGTTCGAAGTTTATCTGTATCAACGCAAGTGAGCTCACATCTTTTTGGACTACATGTGACCATGATGACCATACTCTTTCTTCCACGAACTCATCAGACTCCACCGACCAAACCAATCCCCAATAACAGTAGAAGCGTTCCACGTCGTAGGACCATTCCGGTACTCATCCAAAATCCCACCAAAATAGGTCGTAGAAGGCCAACCATGGCCCAGACCTTTGACCTTGTAATGTACAACAACATCTTCCAAATCGTTGCAAGTCCAGGCATACCTCGTCACATTCCCACCATTCAGAATCTGGGTCTGATTGCTTTCAATCCCTGTCAACCCACCAACACCCTTCGCATCATCCTCACAACCATTCAGCTCTGCAATTTTGGCCAGATACACCGGGACGGGAAGAGTATTCGCCTGCGGTGAATTATCTCCACCATACGCAACAACCTTGTCAACATCCCCATGAATCTCCATATACGGAATTATCAAGCCATCGCGATCTTTCCCACAACCCGCACCATATAAAGGTTCAGTCAATTTGTCATCGGAATAGTATGCAGGAGCAACACCAGCCAGAGCCGCAAACCTCCCTCCGACAGTTCCATTGCAGAACAGTAATCCAGTCATTGAACCACCATTACTGAGACCCGTGGCATAAATTCGGTTCGTGTCGACGCAGAGTTTGGATTCCAGATCGTCGAGAACATCAGAGACGAATTGTACGTCGTTGATGTAAGAGGAATTCGGAGTTGTAGGGTCTCCGAGGAACTGGTTGCCGATGCCTTCGGGATAGACAGCAATTGCGTTAGGATTGATAGATGGAAGGGAGAATTGAGTATAATTCTCGATACTACTGGTTGGTTGGAATTGGCCGTTGAAAGTCAGGAGGAGTGGATGTGCGACATCATTTGAGGCAGCGTAATTGGCTGGGAGATGGATTCTGTATTGTCGCTTTTGCAGGGTGGCATTGGGCGAGGAGAGAGGAGAGTCCAAGGTGATGTTGATCGAAGCTGCGCCTGGGATGAGGTCTGAAGGAAGTGTGGAACCGCATCCTGAGCTCGGTGATGCTGGTGCATGGATTGAAGCTAGAATGTTCACGGCACTTGCGTATGCTGCTTGAGGGTAGGAGAAGAGCGAGCTCGCCTGCAAAGACATGGTGTCGCCTCACGCCAAAGTAGTAAGAGGTCCTGGTTACGCACGGCTGGTTTGGTGTCGCAATTGACTGAGGTGAGCGGGACCTATGAGGTCGACGAGATCAGGACCAGGGTGCCGCGTTGCGGAATCCGGTCACTTAAAAGCTGCGTTGTAGTCAAAGCCTCAGAGGCTCAGAACTGTATTTGGTGAGACATAACCTCTTTCGGTCCGGCAACTATTCGTTCGTTTCGATCCGGGGCATGGTTTTCGCTGCCGAATTCACGCCGGACCAGGTAGAGGGCTCGCGTAATAGTAAGAGGCCTGTCAAGCAAAACAGCATAGCACACCAGTGACACCACGCTGGCTGCAGCTGTAACGTTAGCATGACTGTGCAGTCAAGACAATTATAAAACAAAAAGCTATGCCGATGTTCAGCAACACGAGATGTACGCAAGCGCAGTCGCTCACAGAACGCTCTCCATTGATCCCCAGTCTGTGGCTGGATTCCTGGCTACTGTATTTTCTTGCCTTTCAGCTCTGGCGGTTGTCCCACTACCACACCTCGATATAGCGCATCTGCAACTCCTCTCTTGACTCCCTCGTGCAATCCAACAAGAGGCCTATACCCGAGTCGCTGTTTCGCCTTGTCGATGTTGTAGTACCTGGTCATGCAAGTGTATCTGACCTGCTGTCGCGTCAAGTTGGGTTTGCCGAGTCGGAAGATGAAGTATATCCACTCCATAAGAGTGGCAAGGAAAAGTCCAAGATCTTTAGAGAGACACCAGACCTGGTCTGGAGTAGTTCTGTCTCCAGCAGCAGCCCACAACACACGTGCAAAGTCGAAGAAGTAGACCGGCGCGTCATTGGTGATGAAGAAAGCCTCGCCGTCAACCTTCTCGTGGTCCAGAGGTGCTGCTAGGCCTTGTGCGGCGCGTTCGTGGGTGGCCAGAAGAGCAGCAGCCGCAAGATGGTGCGCATGAGCAACGTTGGTGATCTCGGTAAAGTCGAACAGATTCTCATTGGGGCCGATCTGTACTTTCGTCTGGCCTCGATAGTATGCGGACAGACCCGGAGGAATGAGCTGCACATCTCCAGTTCCAAACATAGCCGAAGGGCGTAATGCTGTCGTCAAGAAGGTGGGGAAAGCAGCCGTGCGATTCTGCGAGAGCACGAAAAGTTCGGCCTGAGCCTTCGTTGTGGTGTAGTACTCTGGCTGTTCCTTGCCCATGATCAAAGGATATCTCTCGTCAGCATTGACGAGATCGCTTTGGGTGTCATGAATAACACTGGCGGAAGAGGTGTAGACAAATGCCTTCACACCAGTCTCCTGCGCTGCTTTGACCAATGCCTTGGTACCCTCCACATTGACCTTGTATGTCAACTCCTGGTTCTTGCTTGCCGTCATGACTGGGCTGGCAGTGTGGATGACTGTGCTGAACTTTCTGGAGCGGAAAAACTTGAGCATGGCGTCAGGATCGGTGAGATCGCCAGCCTGGTAGTCGACGCCATTGACGGGATCCGCAGGCTGTTTGAGGTCGAGGACGGTGATCTTCTCGCACGCTTTCCGGGACGCAAGCAGCGACACAATGTGGTTGCCCAGGAATCCAGAGCCGCCCGTCACCAGAACATGTCCCAGACTCCTGATCTTCTGCTCGTGTGTAGCCATGTTTGCAGCACGAGTATTCTGCTTGCTCTTTAACAATCTTGCCTCCCTCCCTCTCCGTGAACGTTTTCCGACTGAACAGACTCTCCTCTAGGCAATATTTGTCTGCTGACTGAAGCCCAAACCCACGGCGTTGGCGAAGAAACCCGTGGTGTATGCAAACGAACCGAAGCTTCAAGTCTGCACTCTCCACAAAATCGATCCGCGTTCCCTCGTATCTCGTATCAGGCAGGATTCAAGCGCATTTCTTGCCTGTTCCATTTCACTTTCCGTCATCACCCTTCACAACCGCCATCATGACCATACATCTTTATGCCGAGCATTTGGTCAACATCCGCGCGCTTTCCCTCCAGGCGGCTTTGTCCACAGTTTCCAACCAGCAGACGAGAGCGACGTTGTCTGCCGATGGCGACACACTGAGCCTTGAGCACGAAGGCGAAAGTGCAAGCATCAGACTCCCATTCCAAGTGCCCGGCGCACATAGTGATGCGACACTGACTATCCCGGCGGCACCGACGAAGGACCTGAGCTTTCGTGTGTCACTGCAGGAAAATCCAGAATCCAATGGACTGCTCACAAACACCGCTATCGACAGCGAAAACGTGGTGCCATGGGCGGCCGATGCTCTGACAGCTGACACAGAGATACGATGTGTGCACTGCTCTTCTGTTCTTGTGCAGCGCCATTCGGTCGCAATATGGAAGAATCTGCCCTCAGAAAATTGGGCGGAGATGATGGACTTCTGGCACTGTCACAGGCCACATGTTCCTCACAGCCATGATCACGAAGCACCAGCCAAAGGTTATGGCGCTGACAGCACATTGAGAATACAATCGGGGCTGGGCTTAGTCGATCCTATCGATTTCGTATTGGCACCTGAAAATTGCTCATCGCTAAAGGTAGGTGTCTTCATGTCCCTCGTTATCCTTTTCCCTTCTACACATCCGGACCCAAAAGAACTGGCCCTTTCAGGCCGCAAGGTCGCAAGCTATGGAAGCGCTGGGATATGGCCGTCCGAGATCAAGCAGACGAAGCTGCGAAACGGCATCAGCCCACCGTGGTTGATCTGTTGACGCTCTTCTGTCGCCGTCCTGCTTTTCACCGTCACGTCTAGGAGCTCATGGGCCTGATGGGATTATCGCATGATACATACACGCGTGGGTATATAGTGCTCAGTATTAAACGCCTTGTACTGATTCCAATCCTTCCCAGATCTCCTCCATTGCCTCATCTGATCATGATGAAATCCTTCGATGTTCAACATGCAATACTATCGTCGGCCATGTGCACACGAGCGGAGGCTATAAGGTCCGAAAACAGCACCTCTCGCTGTCCTCCTCGCCATCGCACAGATCAGCCTCCTACCCACCCGAGAAATGGCTCGCTTGTCTACTCTTGGCAAGCATCGACACACAAGGCGTTCGCAAGTTTACTGTTCGAAGCTCAACCTCTGACCATATCGCCCTGAAGCTCTGGATTTTCACACCAGATATCAATGTGTCGTCGTCAACAACCACAGCAAGCGCGCCGATTCGTGCTGTTAAGATCTTCTGGCAAGACTGGACGCTCGCCTCAGACGATATAGGTGCCTTAAACCGACAGGCATTGATGGAAGGTGAACTCGAGCTACCACCACAGGAAATGGATCAGCTCCGTGACAAGCTCATGCAAAGTAAATCCATGCTACCCGAGCCAGCACGGAAATTCCAAGATTGGAATGTGGCTCTCCTGCCCCGCTTCAGACTCGATGAGCTGTGATACTGGCCATTAATCAGATCAGATCTTCAAAGTTTCAGACTAGAAAGCGACAGCATTTGAACAAAAAAGTCTACAGCATTATTGGGCCTCCTGCGCCCTGAAAGATGTTCCCAACGATTCCCGCCAGCGCAGCTAGCTCCGCTGCGACGCTCGTCTTGCTTTGAGAAGCTCCTTCCCGGCCTGCGCCACGTTCGACCTCCTCATCGCCTTCGCCACGTAGGCGTCGCTGATCCTGATTTGGCATGAGCGGAATATCGTCAGCAGAGCCTCTCCCGGACATTGACTCCAGATAGGCTTTGTGTAGCATTTCCTGTTCAGACGCAACTTGTTCGCGGAAGGACATGCTGGCTACCCGTTGCTTTGCCTTGTCAGTGCAAGACGGGACTCTGTCGAAGTATTTCTGGATATTTGCTGTCTCGAAATCGCCAGCTTTCACAGCTCGATTAACAGCGTTGACCGCATCCGCGAGGTTTTTTTCTCGATTGTCTGCCGCCATCTTTCTTATGTTCGCCTTCGGGGGCGTGACTGCCAGATTCGCACGGCGCACATTCCTCATGGCGGAATCGATCTCGATGGCAATCGGGCTTTTGGTTCTTTCCCTTTCCCGAGGCTCAACAACGGGCACATTTCGCAGTGAAGGATCAATCATTCGTTCAAGACCTTCCATACCCTCCAAGATTGCTGCTTCCTCGTCATCGTCATGCCTGGCAGCATCTCCAGGCGCCAAGTCAGAGGACAGACTGTAGTGAGGGCTCGCAATTCCTGCCAATGGGCTAGACAGCTTGAAGTTGGGAAGCAAAATGGCACTTCGATAGGGAAAATTCGCGAGCCGATCTTCATAATTCACCGCCGAGCCATCGCCGATGTCTTCCAAGCTCGCATCAGCAGGAAGGGCACCGCTGGCAAACGGATACCCAGCAGAAGCCGATTCAAGAGCCATCGCGCTGTCCTGCCTGAATAACTTTTGAAATCCTCTCTGAGTCTTCTTCCCAAAGTCTTCGATATTCCCCCATGTCTTACTGAGACTTCTGCTGGCTTTTCTCCCAGTATTGGCGACAGCGCTTACAGAGGCTCGTGTGATCCTCTCGACGCGTGCTTGCTCTCGCCACTCGTCCGATCTTCCTCCATCGTCAACGCCGGGGTTGCTTTCAGAAGCATCACTGCGCACTTCTCGACAAGTCACAGTCTGGCGTCGGTCAGGACTGGCACTCGGAGGCGGGTCTTGCCATCGAATGGTCGATCGTCGACGAAAATGACTTTGCAGACTTTTCCTCTTCTGCCGTTGTCGCTCAAAGTACCCTGGATTTGAATCCGAACCACTCTGGTCAACCGAACCGAGAGCAGCATCGGACTGCGGCTTTTGCTGTTTGCTGCGAAGGCTCAACTGGAAAAATTTCCCAAAAAGGGCGGAAGGTGTGGTGGCCTCGACTGATCCTGATTTCTCGTCTGGACTGAGCTCGGTAACTGTTCCCGCCTGAATGTCGACGTCTGGTGCGTTTGGGGCGCTCTGGAATGTACAAAGGACCTCGTCGGCCGCTCTTCGTGGGGACATTTCCATGCGTTGGTACGTGTCCTGTGGTGAGCCCATTCGGATAGCATTCTTTTCGACGATAGATGGAGGGAGAGCATGTCGATCGCGATGCGCGCGGATAGGATAGTCGAACATCGATTCTTGAAGATCGATAGCCGGAGCTACTGAGTAAATTGATGAGGCGTCGTCTCTCCGGGACTCTTCCAGCAAAGCTCTGGTCGAAGCATTTGGAGAAGCAGCATTGCTCTCAGCATCAAAGAGACCTCCTGCTATGTTCATGCTTCCACCAACGGTGCACCGTCGCATCGCGGTCTCCGCACTCAATCTGTCGCTCGCTCCCATCGCTGGATCATCGCTTCTTGTATTGTCGAAGAAAATTCGTCCATGCCGCTTCGATGTCAGATCGGCTTGATGTCGCGGTCCAGATTGACCTCTCGTAACGAGCGGAGGGAGAGCTCCATCCTCGAACTCGGACTGATGAGCCATCAGAGCTTGGCTAGATGAATTGGACATTGTCGTGCTGGCAAGGTCTTTGCGTCTGCACCTCTGCAATTTAGCAGTGCGTCTATCTGTGTATATCCGAGTGCTCTGCATCAATCGACATGGACGCGGGGATACGCCCATCGGGCGATCTTGGTGCAACTTGTCATTACTGCTGGTATTTTTCTCCGGTTCTGTGGAGAGTGCTGCTGACCATTCGAGCTTTTCCGCTTGGTCAACCACATACGGCTCCAGCACTGACTTGGGTAACAAATGAGAGGGACGGCAATACTAGAAGACTTACTCCACGGGATCGATTGCATTCGTAAGACTATGGCATCTTCGGCACACCCCTATCTCTCTTGTGAACGTTCCACGTTCGATGCATGCATGATCGAAAGTATACCATATGCTTTGCTTATATGCTTTGCTTACCACTGCTTCAGTGCAACCACAGCTTCCCACCCAGTGATGCGATCGTCGGTGACGGTCGTACCAACACATTCTGTCAAATAAGCTTCGTAGCTAGCTTGTGTGCCGTCTGCCAACGCAGTCTCCACCGATGCCTCACACTGCGTTTTCAGAAACCAGGCAGCGCTCGCAAAGCTCCATTTATCACTAGCATTGATGAGGGCAAGCACCTCAGCAGGACCTTGAGCTGCCGCAGCCGTCACTTTTGCAGTCGTGATGCTGTCGTCCTTGGCGTTGGCAGCGATCCACTCTGCGTACTTTTGATTGAATGCTGGTGACTGCATGTTGCGAGTCCCCTGCCCTGGCGTGCCTGGGGCTGGGAAGTGGTTGCGGTTGTACTTGAAATCACCGGTTTCGAAGAGGATAATGGAGACGAGCGCGGCTTGGGCGCCGAAGCTCGGGATTTTGAACTCGCGGAAGCTGAGGGCAATGTTGGGTGCTGCAACTTCAGCTGTCGCGCATTCTTCTGGATAGGTTGCGGCTTCGCAAGAGGTGGTGTTGGGCGCGATCTTGATCAGGTCGGCGGCAGATATGCAGGAGCGCTTCTGCGGTAGGGCGGTAATGGTTGAGGTCAGGCCAAGGAGGCCAAGGATGGTTGATGCGAGCATGTTGTTGCTGTCGTTCGGCTTGTGTTGCTCGGATGTTGCCAAACGTTGGTCGGTGTCGTCAGTCAAAGGTCCAGCCTTGACGAGAAGCAGAAGACGGCACTTCTTGTGGTGAGCTTTGGAAACAGTGAAGGGTGACAATGTGACAATGGAAACGCCTCGAGGCTCCGTGAAGTCAGTGAAGTGAGGAGATGTCTTGCATGATGTCCGAGTTGCGCCGCAATCTAATGAATGATGTGAAGGAATGTCAGGCTTACATACAGGAGTGGAAGTAGCAGTACAGGTCGCGAGTGGCTGCGTGAGGAGGAGGTTATTTATGTATGCAGATCAGCCTCTTCAGCTCTCGGTATGGAGACGGAGACGCGAGCGGTTCGGCCATGTCGAGCACCGGGGATGTGGATGTGTGGTGCCGTCAAGCAAACACAGGCGGATGGGCGTCAAATAGACGGGGACGTGCAATGTGAGAGTGCGAGTGCGAGTGCGCAGCTGCCGTTTCAAGCTTGTGAAGTCGCGACGAAGCAGAGGAGGAGCGTTAGCGTGCTGGGCTGGGGCTGTCTCGACAGCGACAAGGATGCCGGCGCCAATGGAGAATCGGCTCTCGCTTCGCTTCGCTTCGCTTGACCTGCGACAAGCCGATGATGCCGATCTCAGCATACGGAACGTGAGGTCTGTTCCTGCATGAAACAAGCGTGGAAGTCGCTGGACGTTCGGTGACCAAGTCCGGCGGCCGGGTGCTGCGGCACGTGTAGATGTTCCGTGTCCGCTCTACACCATTCGCGAATCGCAACCGCGCAGTGCTCGCACGGAGTGACGGAGTTCCGCTCGAACTGCCAGCGTGTCTCGAAATCGTCTTCACGCGGCCGTGTGAGTGGCATGCTGTCAGTCGACTCATCAGCCTGCAAGGCTTGCGGCACGGCACAGCACAGCACGTGTTTGTTCCTCCCGACCCGCCAGCCAATCGTCGGATTAAGCTCTCTCTCGTACTCGTCCCGCTAGACCGGTGAAAGCGGCATCCCGGGCAGAGCCTGAGGCGCGACTGGTTTGATCGCATCGCGACTCCGAAGGCAGAGACAGGAAGAGAGAGTGAGCCTTAGGCAGAGGTGGTGAGATCAGACAAATGCAGAGCCTTTCATCAGCGTCAGAGAAGCAGACACGCGCCCAGAAATTGCGACGTCGTTATAGAACTATTATAAACACGCCGGCCGGACCACGCACGCTAGTCGCAGGCTGTAGTTCTAGCAGGCAGCAGCGAGCTTACTGCGCCTCGCCTCGCCTCGCCTCGACATCACCTCCAACGATCGATTTCTTCTCACCAAACCCTCCCTCCCTCCCTCAGGCTGCAACATTGAGTGACTTTGCACGACTCCCAGCGGCCGCCATCATCGCCTCTCCACCTCCAACTTCTGCCGCCCGTTACTCATCAACACGCCTCTGCACACCCAGAAGCTCTCCGCGCGGCGCGTGTCACATCGACGAGGCCGCACCTCTGACTGTCAGCACTTTTGCTGCTAGCCTCGCAACTCTGCTGTAGCCGCTCCATTCCTTGGACGCTTACTGCGATTGCATCACAAGTTGTGAGTCACCTCCATATCCCCGTGCTTGCACACTCTAACTCTCTCCTAGGCCTGCCATCCATCCCACTACGCTACCGACTCACCAGTACTCCGGCCGCCAACATGTCCGCCGCCACGACTACCAATCCGCGTCGCCGCCCGGCTAGGGCCACTGATCCCGCGAATCTAATCGATGCTCTACAGAACATGTCGATCCGTAAAGGAGATACCTTCCATCCCAACACCAACACCAGCAAGAGCAGCTTCTGGGACCCACTAGAGTCTAGGTCCAAAGCGACGTCCATGCCGCTCCGCTCTACCACATCTCCAAAGTCTTTGGAAGATCTGCTTCTGGGCGCCGGCGAGCGTCAGGTTGCGTCCCTCCTCAATCGAGTCGACCAAGCCGTCGCTGCTAAATCCAAGACGGCTTTGGGCAATGTGCTGAGCGAGCCAGAGGTCTTGCCGTTGCCGACCTTCATGGTGAATGGAGCATCGTTGCCCGAGCGTGCCCAGAAGACTCGCATTCGACATCACAGCCATTCTTCTGACAGCGGCATTGGATCTTCAATCGCTGACTCTGAGGAGTCCGGCTCGACAGCCAAGCAATCCACCCGAACCGGTGAGCAAGCTTCCAGATCTATCCATGAATGCGCTAATGCAATTCGAGCAGTCCGCAGTGCCCCTGCTGGCACCACTCAGTCATTCAACGCCATCTCTGACGCCGCAGAGGAGCGTGGATTGAGCAAGTACGCTGCCGACCAAATCCACAAGCACATTATCAAGCCCATCCTCCAGGAGGAGTCACTCCAAGACTTCCATGATTTGATCAAAGACGTTCCTGCTCGGATTGGCAGCAAGGAGATCAAGACTCTCCGTGATCTCGAAAAGACCCTCATCTTCCTCGCACCGGTAAGTTCTCGCATCCGTCTTGATTCGGATTGCGCTTTTACTCATGGCTGTTCTGGCGTTCAGGATTATTCTGCGACTCCTTCGAAATATCTTCAGTTTTGCGAACGTACCATCCGCGTCCTCCACACCACTGTCACCACTCTTCACGAGTCCGACCAGCGCTCTGTGCCAAAAGACCGACCGTATACGCAAGGTTACTTTTTCGACTTGGTGGAGCAGGTGTGTTTTGGCTCTCAAATGCTGGAGGCCGCCCTGGTTATTGACCCTATCTCGCAGATCCGCCGCTACGCAACTATTCTGGCAGCAACTCGTGAAGCCGAGGCCAAGGGCAAGAAGCCCGAGAACGACGCAATGGATACTGCAGAGTACGTATCTTTCCCTTCCTATTGTTGCCAAGTGCCATTGTCGCGTTGGTGCCTAGCGAAATTCACTCAATGTGACAATAGCTCACAAGTGAACTTTGCTATTGCTCTGTCTCGGACCGTATAAGACCTCTCGTCTTTCACGCTTCTCGAGAACATTGCCAACCACAAAGCCATCGTCAACAGCCACCTGCCTTCAACCCTCAAACGTCAAAATGCAGCAGGTTGCTAACCCAGTTGCGAACAGGGATCCGCAGGTGAAACTGCATGCTGGAATGACTCACGGAAAGCCGGCTGAGCTTATTTACAACAATGCGAACGGCAAAGCTATATCACTCGCTGACGGCCGCACTGTCTCTGAGGAGGAACTCGTATCCTCGTCCATGAAGCGACCAGCAGAATATGTCGACGATGACGATGCCCTTCGCTCCATGGCGAGGCGCAAGAAGAACGCCAAGCCAGAGATTCATACTTGCGAACTCTGCTCGAAGGAGTTCAAGCGCCCGTGCGATCTCACGAAGCACGTCAAGACACATGAGCGTCCATGGAAGTGCCCTGAGATGGACTGCAAGTACCACGAGTATGGCTGGCCAACAGAGAAGGAGCGCGACCGCCACGTCAACGACAAGCACTCCTCTGCGCCATCACTCTACCACTGTCTCTTCAAGCCATGCCCTTACACTTCGAAGCGCGAGTCCAACTGCAAGCAACATATGGAGAAGGCACATGGCTGGAACTATGTGCGCTCCAAGAGCAATGGCAAGGGTCGTGCTTCTACCGTCACCCGTCTTCCCCAAGGCTCCGTTCCACCATCACCATCTTCGGCGATGCTGACCCCGCTGACACCCATCGCGCCGTCGCCATCGACGCACTCTTGGTCTGAGTCCTCGAGACGCGGTTCAATGGCGCCACCACCTACGGCTGGCCCAAGCAACTACAACACTCCATCGTGGGGCACACCAGCTCCCGACTTTGTCCAGCACTTCAACATGGACAATGTCCAATTCGATTTCAACGACATCCAGTCTTGGCCGACCTCAGCTTTCCCCATCACGCCTGCGATGAGCGAGGAGCGTCGCCCATCCACGAGCTTGTCGTCCAACTCTATGCAGTTCGATGGCAGCTCCTTTGACGATGCTTCCCCACATATGTTTACCTTCAACGACAACGACTTTACCTTCCCGGAGAACTTCCAGCAGTTCACACCGAACTCCAGTGTGGCAGGTCCAAGCTCTGGTGCACCACAAGCCTCACCCGGTGCCCATATGGATCAGACATTCACGGATGCCGCAATGATGGATGCCGGTTATGGTCCCACTGAGGATTTCACGCTCTTTGGCGGCAATTCGGGTCACGACACCCAGAGTGCTGACATGTTTCCCACCCTCGATCAGAGCAGCTGGGGACAGATGAGCTCTAACAACTATGGTTCTCACTTCGACAATGTCCCCGCTCTGCCGGCCGGCAACACCAACAGTGCTTTGGCAGAGCTCTTCCCTGAGCTTGTCGACAAGAACTAGCAAAGCCGCCAGTTATTGCAACCCGAAGCGCGGCGGGAGGACGTCAAGCTTTCACGAAACAGCATTACGACTTTATGGATTTTATGACAGTACGGTTTGAGTCTTTTCTATCGGCGATGGAACTGAATACTCCCGGAAATACGTGTACGAGAATGGCATGCACTGTGCTGCCTCTTTTTTACCTTGGTGATATGAGATGGAGGAGATACTACCAAGGCGTTGATTTATGGATGGACACTGCTCCTTCTCAGATTGTACCATAGATAGGCTGGACAGCTCGAAACAAGAATGGAGTCGACGCCAAGCAGGATTGCCTCAATAGCAAATGGGCCCATTTAAAGTCCCATATCAGCGTCCGAGCGCCTGACCCACCAAGAATAGGCTCAGCCTGCCGCAGCGGACTCGGTGAGATGTAGAAGTCCGCTCCGTAGTATGCGTGACTATAGAAAACGTGATCTCGCCGTCGCCGCGCGTCGCTGTTGCTAGGTCGACGGTATACAGGTTAGGGTAGTAGTAGTAGTAGTAGTAGTAGTGCGATTTCCGCTAGTATACTAAATATCGCGAACGAGAGGTCGTACGGTCGTAATTTAATAGATTTCGCACTATTTTAATAGATTTTGACGACCCTAGCATCTCTACTAATAGATACAGATTATATTACTAAAAATAAAGCTAAAGTTTGTTAGCAAAATAGCGGTATAGCGAAATTCGAGGTATTGTTAGCGATTATAGCTAATTGTCGCTATTTTAATAATATTAATATATATTAGAGAGCGGCGGTGTATAAGGTATACTACTATAGACCTATATCGCGCTCGTAGGCGCGTATTACTACCTATTTAACGCCGGTATTGTCGGTAGAGGTATAGAATAGCTACTAGTTACCTCCGCTACGGTAGAATTTAAAGGAAAACACGTAGAAAACGCGTCGATACCGCCTAGAACTGCTAGCGGCGCTTCTTTACTAAAATTTTAGTAAAAAGGCGCCGCTAGTATTCGCTCGGGTACGTGTTCACTTGAAGTGTGTGTGATGGTTGATTGAGTGTCTATGGAAGAAGCGAGAAGTCGCTAAATAGGGTGCCGCGTGTGCACGGACCTAGGCACATGCCTCAGGATTCAACTCACCCCCTCGTGCACATACAAGGCACGTTGGTGAATACAAAGTCGCTCAAATCAAACAAAGAGGTATCAGTCAATAGCCCAGGCTTCCTGCCCTTACAATGGCCATTCAGTTCAGTCAGCAACCCAGGCTTCTTGCCCTTAGATGGTTGTTCGGTTTCAGCAACCCAGGCTTCTTGCCCTTAGATGGTTGTTCAGTTAGTCAGTAGCCCAGGCATCTTGCCCTTAGATGGCCATTTAGTCAGTCCGCCGCACCCCCTGCATCCAGCAGGTTTGAGTGTTGATTGCGGTTTAGTCAGTAGCCACGACACCCCCTGCTTCTTGCAGGTAGGTGCTTAAAGCAGCCGTTCAGTCAGTAGCCACGACACCCCCTGCTTCTTGCAGGTGGGTGCTTAAAGCAGCCGTTCAGTTATGGTTCAGTCGTGTCAGGTTCAGTCGTATCAGGTTCAGTCGGTTCAGGTTCAGTCGGTTCAGGTTCAGTCGGTTCAGGTTCAGTCGGTTCAGGTTCAGTCGGTTCAGGTTCAGTCGGTTCAGGTTCAGTCGGTTCAGGTTCAGTCGGTTCAGGTTCAATCAGTTGATAGCTCAGGGGCCGGGTTATTGTAGGCAGAAGGTATAATGGCTATATTGGCCACTTGCTTGTTCAGCTTGTCTTGGTCCTTCTCCTGCAGTTTCTTGAACCATTCAGGTGCCAGTTCAGGGTTCTTCTTAAAGCAGGTCGGACTATGCTTCCTGTTGCAGTAGTCGCAGTACTGCTTCTTAGTCTTCTTCTTAGTCTTAGCTTTAGCCAAATTGGCAGGGACCATCGGGTCCAAAGTAAGCTGTCGGCGGCAATCGTCGCGTAGATTAGTGCAGGCCTTGTCGAATGTTATGTCCTTCAAATTGACAGTCTAGTAGTTGGCAAGTGTGAGTTTGCGAATGCCGCCAGTCGCGACAGTCGCAGTAGTCGAGTCGGAAACGGCCATCTTGGCTGTTTAGTTGCAGCGCTTAGCTGTTCAGTTGTCGGTCTTAGTCAGGTCTTGTTCGCACCCCCTGCTTTGCGCAGGAGGGTGTTCAGTCTTGATCAGGTCTGCGGTAGCAGTCGAGGGCTCATAACCACTTGAAGTGTGTGTGATGGTTGATTGAGTGTCTATAGAAGAAGCGAGAAGTCGCTAAATAGGGTGCCGCGTGTGCACGGACCTAGGCACATGCCTCAGGATTCAACTTGTTCTTGCTTTGCTTATTTTTCTACCTATTTCTTCGACTTCTTCGGCTTCTTACCGCTATTATTATTGTCTACGCTCTTACCTTTACGCTTCTTAGTTATCGCGTTAGTCGGCGGCGCCTTCGAAGGTAGATAATAAGTCGATAATAGGTCGGCTAGTAATAGCGCTTATAATAGTTGCGGTAGCTGTATTAGTATTAGAATCGCGTCCGGATACGTATTCTTAAAGTAAGTAAGAACAAGGTTAGTAAAGCCCTTCCTAATATTATCGCCGCTATCGTAGAAGACTATTAGTATCTTAGAGATAATAACTTCGCGCTCCTTATCGTTCTCGTCTATACCTTATTAGTTATATAAGCGCTTAAGTTAGAAGATTAACTCGTACGCGTTAGTAAGTACTTCGCGTATATTTAGTCGATAGGTAGGCGCGTACGCCGCCGCCGCCTCGGTATCCTCGGTTTATACTACTATAGACTTAGAAGCGTCTTCTTCGTAGACCTCGAGAGCGCGTCCTACGAACATATTTACCTATTATTACTAGTATTAATCTTTAATAATAACGCGTCTAAGTATAATATAATAGTACTAGAGGTTAGCGCAAAGAACGCAATATTAGCGAAAGAATTTATAGTCGTAGGTAAGCGTACCTAGTAGTACCTACTACCTTACTCGATAACGGCTTCGGGTCGTAGTATACGGATTTGTCGAGAACGCGATTAATCTTAGTACTAATCTTGCGTTAAATAGGCTACGGCAGGCGTAGAAGCTATATTCGGAGCTCCTCGTCGTCGCCGCGCGCGAGTAGATATATATTTAATACCTATCGCTTGCCTACGATTTCCGAGCGAAGCTCTCGCAACTCGCCTTCCTATATCGTATAAATAGCGACGCCCTTTAGTAAGAAGTCCGCCGCTATTAGTAACTTATTGCCGTCTATTTTAATATATACGTAGAAGCTCTCGTTTATATTCGTATCCTTATATTGTCCAATAATAGTAGGTATATTATAGACGCGATAATAGTTAGCCTAAAGGCGAATATCGCTGCCGAAGTCTTGTACTAAATATATATAGTTAGAGTCGTAGTCGCTGTTTCGAGGGAGGCTATCGATAGCGGCTTAGAGTAATTCTTTCGCGCCTTCGAGCGAGTAGTAATAGACAACGGCGGCGCGAAGGTGTTTACGTATCTCTTAGCAGATCTTCGTACTAAAGCGTCTATCGATAGTGCGCTAAACGTGAATATAGTATAGTAGGTATATTGTCGTTAGAAACGCTATTCGGACTGCGCGTCGCTCGGCGGCCGAGTCGTCTATAAGGAGGAATTTAGGTATCTAAATACCGCCTGTCTACCTACTTATAGTGCGTAAAAACTCCGCTATAATATCGCCGTCGTTAGTAGGTAAAAGCATATATGCCGCTATACGAGAAATGCTATATTTATCCTTTACTATAATAGTATAAAGGAACTAACCTAGGTAATTAGTCTTATACGTCGCGTTTATAAACGCGATCGTGTAATAGGCTTTAAGTAGTTCTATACTAGTTTTGCTCGTATATACGACGCCGTAGGTAGTCTCTTTATTAATTTAGCGTACGGCTTCTATGTTTTCGGAAAATAGCCCTTTTATAATAATGTATTAGCAGTTGTTATAATAAAAAACTAGAATTAAAACAAACAAGAATCTAGCGAAATCTAAGATTTAGGGTTCGGGCTTGCTAAGGCGCGCTAGAAGCCGGACCGAGATATTGCCGTAGCTTCTAAAATTCTTAATTAGCTCGAAGCTAAGGCTCTACGGCGCTTCCGTTTTAAGCGAAGAACTTTAAAGTATAGAGATTCTTTACTATTCTAGCTTTTTTAGTCTTCTATTTAGTCTAATATCTTCCTTAGTCGAGGGGATAAGTTAGGCTAGATTCTAAGTCGATCTATTAGTTAATCGGAGTCTATAAGAAGGGTATGTTAGCAGGTAGATAGGGTGGTAGTAGGTACAGGTAGTATTCGATAGAGATCTAAGAGGAGAGGGAGGAAGGTAGGCTAGTTAGCCTAACGCTAAGCGCTAAGCCCTGCCTAAGGCATCGAGACCCTAGCTTCACTCGAGCCTAGTTATATGCTAATTACGTATAACCTCTTTAGTCCTAATATACGCTTCCCTTTTAAAGGCCGCGCCCTCGTAGCCGGTCTATATTCTATTCTCAACCTCTGTTGCTACTAACTTAGTAGGTTTAGCAAGCTTCTTAGTCCGCGCTAAATTGAATACGCAATTACCGATTATATAACTATATTAAACCTTACCTCTAATACAACACAATGTCTAACTCTAACTGCGCTATCCTTATATATAATAAAGTAATATATAACTATAAGAATTAGAGACTATCGACTAATTACAATACGAGCGCGTCTTCCCTACTATAATAGGTAGACGTACGAGGTATTGTAGCCCTACCTCCGTTCTAAGTAATGTCGTACCGAGTTCTTTGCGTCTACTCTTAAAAGACCTAGCAATATCCGCTTCCGAGGGTTTGTCCGTTCCGAGAGTTATTCTTATTGTTACGAGGGCCATTATTTACTTCCGTAGTTTTACTAGCCCTAATTAGTTAGGTTTGGTAGCCTTCAAGTATTAACTAATTATATCTTTTCAAAAAACTTAGTTCTTCTAGTTTCTATAGGTAAAGGCTATTATAAGTGCAGTAGTAGAGGTTCGCCTCGCTTAAAGGGTTAGATAGATCGAGGAGTAACCTATTATCCGCAAGATCGACCCCGGCTAGCTTAGCTCTATAGTTTTGCCCTTAGTTAGTCTATTAGTCGCTTAATCTTTTAGGCGGCTTAAAGTTTTAATCAAAGTTTTAATTAAAGGTGCCTTAGGCTCGTAGTATAGGTAAGGTTATATCCGTAGGTACAGTAATAATAGCAAGTAATATTAATAATAGCGGCGCTAGTCGTCTTAGCGCTAACTTTACCTTACTTTCGATTTCCTTCGTCGACTAA